CGGAGTCCGTAGAACTACCCTGAGTGTTCAACCTGATTTCGTGGTCGATAATTTTCTCCATTGCCTTTAACAGACTTACCTACCTTCGGGATAAAGATAACCCTGGCCCTCTGCCACACTTTCAAAAATTGGCCAGTGCTACACTGTCCCTCATAATATCCACAAGATGTGGAAGTAAGATCTCCACGCCCTGCTCCAGAAACACTAGACAGACGCCATCCACCCCCGGGGCCTTTTACCGTTTCCCCGGAGGTAGGAATGGCGTCCGGAAAGTGGACCGACCGCAGGGCGATAGTCCTTTCCTGTTCAGTACCTAAAAAAATTCCATTAGTTAGCCTAATAGCCAACCTGGTGCCTGCGTTGTCCCTCGCTAAAGCTGTATAAGCTTAGAAGCTGCAGGAGTGGATGCGATCTGCGTGGATGGTCCTGAAGCTACTACGCTTGGCCTTTCTAATCTCCTTACTGTATTTTGTCAGACTGACTTAGTATTCCTCCCAGTTCTCGGTGCGCTTTGCCCTATTGAAAAGTCTGCGCACCACCTTCCTAAGAACCGAGAGTTCCCGTGACCGTTAGGGAGGCTGAGAGTTCACCTTAGGCTTCGACACGGGACAGCTGGAAATAAAGGCATCCGAAATAGTGCCGTTCGGCCTGTTGACCCTGTCCTCTAACTCAATACAATCTACCTGGTCCTGGTTAAGTTCAACCTAAGTACCTCTTCGTATTTGGCCCAGTTTGTTTTCCTGAGGTTTCTCTTGGGGTAATCTGTCTGAACTTCAGCTCCCAGCAGCGTTGCCACTAACCATTTTTCCCCCTTCCAATTTTCGTCCCAAATCCGACCAAAAATCTTTGCAACCTACCAAATAAATTTCAATTACAAAAAAGCATTCTGAAAGCATACAATTCATTTATTTAAGATTAAATATTTCGAATACAAAACATTTACGTTTATGTACTTAGTACATTTTAAAACAAACAAGAAATAAATAAATGCAGATACAGTCTTAGGCACAGAGTTGAGATAATTTAACGGCTGACCACACATAGCGCGGGTAATTTTTGCATAACATTATGCTATTGATACTGCCAATCTTAAGTTTATTTCATAGTTTAGTTTTTATAAAAGAAAGCGTTGAAAATTTGCATTTGCAGAGCTATGTGGTAATGGAATTACCATTTTTAATAGAATAAAATTTTTCCCAAAACATATCAATGTCAAGATCGCTGGAAATATCATGGTGCATTTACATGGTATGAAGCCATACGAACTGTTGATATGCTAAAATAGAGGGGCTACATGTTCCAATGAGGAATTCAATGATTTCGAGTGGGATGCATATAATAAATTTGTTCATATAAAAATTATGGGCAGATACTGTAAATATACTGATGTGATACTGTTGAGCATATGAAATTATAGCATGCTGGATTTTCATACATCTTCCCATGAGAAGTTTTGCAGAGATACGAATTAGGGTTTTTCCATTTTGATGCCTTTTTAATAAAAAAAAATCACCGAAAAGGAGGAAATCGGCAACACCGCCATTCACATACATGTCAAAAGGGGGTATTTTCAAAATTAAAAACAATAAACAAACAAATTCAAAACAAATAAATTGTTTGTACTAGAACTTTTTTAAATAGAAGCAACTCACGTATGGTGGACAATAAAAATACTAAGCACTATGATAACAAACCTAAAAACAAGACAATTCACACCGTATAAGCCCGTATTTCCCAAGCTGGCGAAGAAATGAAAGTGTGTATTTTTTGTTGTTTCTAAAAAGACTTGCCATATATATAAGTCAAAATTATAGAAGGCATGTATACTTCTCCCTTTCATTTTTTCATACAGTTGATGCTTCTTTCCGGCATTTACTTATTTCGGTATAATATGATGGTAATGTATTTTCCAATCGAAATCAAAGAATCCCACGAAAATTTTTGCGATTGTAGAACAATAAGTGTATATTTGTAAACTAATGCAAAGAATGGAGCGTCATATCTTAAGAGGTTAAGAGATTTAACGAAACAAGCAAACCTTTTATGGTCTTACGTTTCCCACTAACCGCATTGCTATTTTTTCCAACTCTTCCTTTTTTAGCGCTGGAACGGCTTAAGTTATATTTTTTAATATATACATGTGAGTTATTTTCAATGAGTATTTTTTCATTTGCTCGTAGATTTTGGGAACATTTTCTTATAGTGCCTCTCATTCTTTTTTATATTACATTAGCACACCCGAAAAACTTCGTCCCGCCCAAAATTCATTGTTTTACTGGATTATATTGGTCCAATATTTTCACCTACAATTCACGTTCACGATTTCCAGTGATACATTTATATGCTAATATTACGGTTTGGTGGTTGTCAGAAGGCATATTTCCATTGTCGTCTTTAATAACCTAACGAAAGTTTATGTTCGTGAAGAAGTTCTTGAAATTCTCCAATGTTCTGGCGTTTCACAGCACGGTTAATCGCACAACGAAATAAATTTGAAGAAGTTTTTCCCATTCACTCCCCTGGCAGCAACAATGATCCGGTTCGATGGTGAATCTGTCCTTGAAACTGTATGGTATAGTTGGTGCAATTTAAAAATTGGTGAGTATCGTTGTTCTACAGAAATCCAATATACACAGACTTATTTCAGTCGAAATACCTTAAAGCTCTGGTTCTGATGGTAGATTTAATGCTGTTCATTTGAGATTGACCCCGGGACAACTCAATCCTGGTGTCTCCGAATGAAGCTCGCAAATCATGTTCATTGGGCCAATTGGAACCCACGGGAGCTCGGCATACTCGGTGGTACAGCACGTCGATGTAATCGGACATTCACGGCCCTTTTTCTCACTTGACGAGTTTTAGTAATAACTCGACCCCAGCGTCAACCGGCGGCTGTTTTTTGCAATAGTATTGCCCTTTTCCAATAACATAACTTTTTTTTTAATTTCGTATGGGAGGTGCCACGCCCCCTTTTCCAATAGCTCCAATTTTTCTCCAAGAGTATGCGATTGATTTCATATATGTATATCCCTACCAAGCTCCAGTACTCTACCATGAACATTTCCAGAGATATGCAGTATGAAAATTTTTGTTTTTATAGGAGGTGCAACAGCTTCTTCACCTAGCGCTATGAAATCACAGCGCACGGCAGTGCGCGCGAGTGACGAAAGCAGCCACAGTAGCATGCTGAAATGACTCACTTATATATACACGAGATTTGGAAGTTTTTATCCAGACGTCCAATCGACATGTTTGAAATATCGTTGGAAAGGTTTTGCGGAGTGTGTCCAGAAAATGTATCCAAGCTTCCTAAACGATTAACTGGATTCGTAAAAATTAGGCTGAAGTGTTGCGAAACAAAAAAGTTTTTTTTGCTTTTGCCGGTTTAAGGGGGTATGTGGGTAAACCCAACATATTTAGTGTTATTATATAGGCCAATACCTTTCAAACGATACCTTATATATTAAGTTCCGGCTACTAGTTGGAAAGATATAGGGGTAAATGTGTTTTTTGATTCGTGTCTCCACTACGAGATGCTTTCTTGGTATGTACTTATGTGGCGTCTGTACGTACCTTCTGTTAACGGCGCCATCTACCTGCGAAATCAATCGCTCCATATTCACTCCAACTACTCAGCACTGTGGCAGCGCTGTTGTCTTCTGTTATTTTTTCAATATACTTTCGTCATTCTGCAGCGGTCGACCACGTTTTTCTTTGTTCTTAAAATTAATATCTATTAAGTATTATATAAGCGAAATTGTAACCAAAGGCTACAATAAAGTTCACCTGAATTAAAGCAATAATTACTTTGTACTGCGACCGTGGATACGTATGCAGCGCCAAAGGTCACCGCATATTATCCACAAAAGGGAAGAACTGAGCATCTCCGGCTCCCACACGAGTAACTACGGCTCCTACGCGAGTATCACCCGCTCGAACACCATTAATATTACTACGCAAAGGCAGCAGATACGCACATTGTATCTACAGAAGGAAGAACTGAGCACCTCCGGCTCCTACGCGAGCAACACCGGCTCATTCGCGAGTAAAACCGGCTCGAACATTGGTCCTTCGAGCCTGATCAGCGAGTGCTCGAATCAGGGTTTGGCCGCATCAATCCTATACTTCCCTTTATCTCTAGCTTTCCTTGCAACTTCATTTGTTTACTAAAACTGTATACATTACAGGCGATAACCGAGTTCCGTCACATATGGTGTTTGCGGGTTCATACGTAAGCACTCCTCCACAAAATACAATATGGGTCTTGAAGATGCTATCAAATCTCCCGTGCCGAGTATAACAGGTGATATGAATTTAAACGAAACCGTCGTATGCAAACTAATTAAAAAGCATAGTTCGATGAAAGGTAGATTGACATTGTTCGCTAAATTCATGTCTTCATTTGAGGGCGCACAGCCAACAAGTAAGCAGTTGTCTGAAATTAAATTGCTAAGTGACTCTGCCAAGTCGTTGTTAAGCGAATTTAACGCTGTGCAAACCTCAATTGAAGAATCAGCTTCAGACGCCGACATTTGTCTGCAATTAGAAATACGAGAAGCATTTGAAAATTCTTATTATAGTTCAATGGCCGCTATTTCGGGATTTTTACAAAATGCCAACCACACCGATACCCCCGGTAACAATTCTAAATGCAACACTCAATCTTTGGTTAAATTGCCTACCATTTCTCTTCCGTCGTTTAATGGGTCGTATGGTGATTGGCTGGAGTTTCGTGATACTTACACTTCAATGATACACAATTCAAGCCAGTTAGACAACACGCAAAAGTTTCATTATTTGCGGTCATCGCAGCTCAAGTAATTAAGTCCGTAGAGTTTACGAATGAGAACTACTCAGTAGCTTGGGAGTTACTTACAAATCGGTTCAATAACACAAAGTTATTAGTTCACAATCACGTAAAGGCGTTATTTTCTATACAGCCCTTAAACAAAGAGTCGTCTGCTAGCATTAGAAGATTAGTGGATACAATTCTCAAGAATATGCGTGCTTTGAATACTTTAGGAGAGCCAACAGGTCATTGGGACACGTTAATTATTTATATAATCGTTTCGAAGTTAGATAGTCAGATTGAGAAAGATTGGGAACAATATAAAACGATAAAGCTAGAACAACTACTAAATTTTCTAAATGATAAAGCGGACACTTTAGATATAATTAAGGTGCACCAAACATCTTCTTCTCAGAACAATAGCAAGGTATTTCGTGAGGCCAACAAAAATCAAGCTCAGCAAAAGCTACATAGTTTTATATCGACTGAAAGTAACATCAAAAACGGCTCACGTGTATGCCCCCTATGCTCTAAAAATCATTTGCTGTACACTTGTGGTACGTTTCTAAAACTAACTTTTGAAGATAGGTTAAAATTCGCACGCAATAAAAATCTCTGTACCAATTGCTTGCGTGCTAAAGACGATGCATTGGACTGTCACTTCGGTTCATGCAAACAATGCAGCAAAAAGCATAATAGTCTGCTTCACGGGTATTTTAGTGGAGAAAGCGCCACTTTGTCTTCGACAGCACCTGAGTTTAAGCTTACCTCAAACAATAACACGTCAACAGTGCTACACACATCTGATCAGTTCAAAGCGAATATTGAACGTAAGGAGGATAGGTCGAAGACGATCATACTAGCTACCGCATTGGTTGAAGTAGCTGGTGTCGACAATGTCTATCACACGGCTCGCGCTTTATTAGACAGCTGTAGTCAGCACTGCGTTGTAACAAACGCACTGCGTCAGAAAATAAATGTTAAAACGATACAGTCCACCTTTCGAATAGCAGGAATAGGGCATTCAGTCTCCCATACAACAGACTTAAGTCTCGAATTGGAGATTATAACACGAGAATTAAATATTAAGTATTGAGTAGCATTACAAGTTCACTTCTATCCATTAGCTTAGATTACAAGGCCTTGAATATTCCGCAAGATGCAATTTTAGCGGATCCATCATTTCATTTACCAGGGGAAATCGATTTACTTTTAGGCGCAGATCTCTTCTGGGATTTGTTGCTCGATACTAAAATTCGTTTACGCCATATTTACAAAATACAATTCCGGGATAGATCGTTTCAGGTGTTATGTGCACTAACAATTCCTTTAAGAGCAAGGTTGAGTGCACCTTCGTTCAAACCATTGAACTTAACGATCAACTAAAAACATTTTAGGATATTGAAGAAATTGATAAATGTTACGATGTACAGACTCATGAAGATCTCGCTTGTGAAAATTTATTTGTAGAAACCACGAAACGTGAAAGTGACGGACGCTTTTCAGTACGCATTCCACTTAAAGAATCAGCTGACGTGTTAGGCGACTGCTTCGAAATTGCCAAATCTAGATTCCTTTCGCTAGAAAGCCGACTTAGGAAATCTGGGGAGTATAAGAAGATGTATAGTGGTTTCATGCAAGAGTATGCAAATTTAGGACACATGACCAAAATCGAAAGTAACGCAAAACCGTGTTTATTCTTACCACATCATGGTGTATTACGTCATCAAAGTATCACAACAAAGCTGCGAGTCGTGTTCAATGCGAGTCAGAGGACATCAACAGGTATATCGTTCAATGATATCCAGATGACCGGACCGCCTTTGCAGAATGATTTATTTTCTATTCTTTTGCGTTCTAGGTAATTTAAATATGTTGCATGCGCCGACATTGAGAAAATGTTTAGGCAGATATCCCTGCAGGAAGATCAAAGGAATTTGCAATTGATATTATGGCGTGAAAAAGACGCAGACCCTCTTAATGTGTATAGACTTAACGTCGTAACGTATGGCATGTCAGCAGCACCATATCTTTGCATACGTTGTCTTAGACAATTGGGTATGGAATGTGCGGACAAGAACGTTGCTCGCTTCATATTAGAAGATATTTACGTAGACGACTTAATCACCGGGAATGATTCAAAATCGATGCTCCAGGAGATGTGTAAAAAAGTGTCTGATGTTTGTATGTCTGGATGCTTTCCATTGCGAAAATGGGTTTCAAATTTATCTCACATTACCTGGGGTGCAAAAGAAGGTGACAACATATCTAAAAGTCTATCTCTAGATGAAAACTTTTCAAGTAAAACTCTGGGCTTGGGTTGGTTAAAAAAAAAGCGACGAACTGCAGTTCACCTTAGAGATTAATCAAGATAACCCTAAGATTACAAAACGATCCATTCTGTCAATAGTTTCCCAAATTTACGATCCGCTTGGTATTCTTAGTCCCGTAGGTAGGAAAGATATTATTACAAAGGTTGTGGTTATGTAAAATAAACTGGGATGATGCAGTACCTACTACTATCATAGCACATTGGAAAAATTTCCTCCAGTCATTGTCACACCTTCAAAAAGTACGGGTTCCACGTCATGTGCTTGGTCATGAGTATTCCAAAGTGCAGCTACATATTTTTTGCGACGCGAGCGAAACAGCGTACGGAGCCTGTGCGTACATTCGGACTTGTGCCAACAGTGGTGCCGTTACAGTAAGATTATTGTGTTCAAAAGGCAAAGTTGCACCTATTAAGCCCATTAGCATACCCAGGCTTGAACTATGCGGTGTCCTAGTAGGTACAAGGCTACTGCTTAAAATTTCAAAATCATTGCATTTACAGTTCAGTAAAAGTATTATTTGGACCGATTCCACAATAGTTTTGTCGTGGTTGCGAATGCCTCCACATCAACTGAAGACCTTTGTTCGAAGCCGTGTCGCGGAAATAAGTGAGGCAGCGAGTCATGCGATATGGTTACATGTGAAATCCAAACAAAATCCAGCAGATATGATATCGCGGGGTGTATATTTAAACGAACTTAATACGTCGCCATTGTGGTGGAATGGCCCTGCATTTTTATGTGAACGTGTAGATGATTGGAGCCAGAATACGAACAGCCTGTTTAGTTTAAAGAATCTACCCGAATTGAAACAGAGCATGGTTTGTACATGCCGTAACGAGGTAAATGATTGCATTATTGACTTTAGTAGGTTTTCTAAGTTCAATAGGTTACAACGGACTTGCGCATACATGATGCGATTTCTTCATAACACTCGTATTAAAGACAGCCATAGTAGGCTGACAGGAGCACTCTCTGTAGATGAACTAGAAAAATCCTTAATAATTTTGACGCGATTAGCTCAAATGCAATCGTTCTACAATGAGTACAGCACTTTAAGTAAAAATTTAGAACTAAAGTCAAATCGAAATTTAATTAGTCTTAAAGTATTTATCGACAAGAACAATCTCATCAGAGTAGGCGGAAGATTGTCAAACTCCTACAACTTTACGTACAATAAGAAACATCCAAAGCTGCTCTGTAGTAAACATAAATTTACCTCCCTCTTATTTCAATATGAACATAACAGACTATTACATGCAGTTATTGCTATTTCACTTCAGAGAAAATTGGTGGCCACTAGGCGGTAGGAACCTCGCTAGGAAATTTGTAAGGCGATGTGTTAAATGCTGCCGTATGAGGGGAAAGACCGTAAGTCCACTAATGGGGAATCTACTACCCGAACGTTTAGAAGGGGGATTTCCATTTCTGAACTGTGGAGTAGACTACGCCGGTCCGTTTTTAATTTTAAATAAGAGAGGTAGAGGTGCCAAACTCGAAAAATGCTATTTATGTTTATTCGTGTGTTTTGCGACTAGAGCTTTGCATTTGGAATTGGTTACTAGTTTATCGGCTGAAGGTTATATGTTGGCATTGAAAAGATTTATTTCCCGTCGTGGAAAACCTTTAAAGATATTCTCAGACAATGGTAGGAATTTTGTAGGTGCTTCTCGAGAAATTTTTGAACTTTTTCAAGATAGTAACCAATCGTTAACAATCATTATACTACTGGGCACAGGCTAATTCGCTATAAACTTGTCGTGCAGTTGAGGCAGTCCTTTTGGAGGAGATGGTCTACAGAGTATATATCAGAGCTTCAACAACGAACTAAATGGCAAACAAAGACGGAAGATGTCCCAATAGGAACTTTGGTTCTTGTAAAGGACGAAAATGCCCCACCACTTAAGTGGAGCCTAGGACGTATCGTAAATTTATCTAGAGGCAAGGATGGTACAGCAAGAGTCGCCACAATCAAGACGAGTAAAGGTATCGTGCAGAGGACATTTTCAAAACTATGTCCGCTTCCAGTTTCTGACAAAATTATTGTCGAAGAAGATGATACGTCCAGTCACCAGGCATTGTGTTGAGAGTGATGGATACTCTCAAGGCCGCCAGGATGTTAACGGCGCCATCTACCTGCGAAATCAATCGCTCCATATTCACTCCAACTACTCAGCACTGTGGCAGCGCTGTTCTCTTGTCATTTTTTCAATATACTTTCGTCATTCTGCAGCGGTCGACCACGTTTTTCTTTGTTCTTAAAATTAATATCTATTCAGTATTATATAAGCGAAATTATAACCAAAGGCTACAATATAGTTCACCTGAATTAAAGCAATAATTACTTTGTACTGCGACCATGGATACGTATGCAGCGCCAAAGGTCAGCACATATTATCCACAAAAGGGAAGAACTGAGCATCTCCGGCTCCCACACGAGTAACTACGGCTCCTTCGCGAGTATCACCCGCTCGAACACCATTAATATTACTACGCAAAGGCAGCAGATACGTACATTGTATCTACAGAAGGATGAACTGAGCACCTCCGGCTCCTACGCGAGTAACACCGGCTCATTCGCGAGTAAAACCGGCTCGAACACCTTCATTTAATTTTTTTGAAACTTTCAGGAATTAAAGTACAAAAAAACTAAGAAGGTTTTGTTCCAGGATGTTTTGATTCGTATGCCTTTGTGGGCTGCCTGAAATTCGAAAAAAGGTAATTTTTCAAACTACCACTGAGGCCGCACTACTCAGTCCGTGTCATTGATGTGAATATCAGTAGAAGGGTATTAAAACAAGCTATCTAACGCTATCTTTTGTGTTTATGAAATATAAATATGTCATAAAGTTATCGCCTGAAAACTAAAAATCGGACTGCTGAAAATATAGATTTCGGGCATTTTCTCAAAAACTGGTCAGTCGATTTTATTCTCAGATGTTCTTTTGCAATTTTTATATGTACTTATGTATATGTATGTGTATTTGTTCCTTTACTTACTATCATATATATATGTATGTATTTATATTTTTGTAACAGATAATAAAATAAACACGCCCCTGAAGATGCTAAGAAGATTAGCGAAACGTTGGGCCGTAAGTGAAATAACGTCGTTTTATTTACACTAGAAGAACAGATCAGACAAGCCTATCACAAACTAAAAAATTTTCACAAAATACAAACTGATCGGATATACATAAATAAAGTTATAGCACTATTTTGGAGATCACCACATCTCCTCATCAAACTTCTTTTTTCTAGACTTCAGCAGGGAACTAGAAGTCTAGAAAAAAGAAGTCTGATGAGGAGATGTGGTGATCTCCGAAATAGTGCTATAACTTCTACCGCTTAGACTTTGTTGCTTTTTCAATTTTTCCTAGTAAACAATCGTGGTACAAAGCTCAATAAAAAAATATTAAAAATAAAATGTTAACAAGCCACAAGAACATTGACAAATACATTTAGATAATTGTTTGTGTTTTCGTCGATTTTAAATTTGCTACCCCAAAATAATTGATATCATATAAAACACCTCTTTGAGGTAAAATTTTCGAGTGACGAAATGTGAACTAGAAACACAAAATTTATGATACCAATTTCATGACGAACATTATACGCATTTTTTAACTGCCTTGGAAACGTACGGAAAATCTTTTTTTATTTATGCGGAACGTTGCGAAAATCTGTCTACTGCTAGAAACACAAAATAAAAAACAGAACTTCTGCAAAGATTCGTATGAATAAAAAAGATTTTCCCTACGTTTCCAAGGCAGTTAAAAATGCGCATAATTTTCGTCACGAAATTGATATCATAAATTTTGTGTTTCTAGTTCAGCTTTCGTCACTCGAAAATTATACCTCAAAGAGGTGTTTTATTTGATACACTTTACGACCTGTTCCCCGCGCCATTTTCCAAATTGATTTTTATATATCTCTGAACCAAGTTGCAGTACCCTAACATGAACACATCCAGAGATATGCGGTATGAAAAATTCGGTTTTCCAATAACATCAAATTTTTCCATGAGTATGCGATTGATTTCATACATTTCCAAATATACACAAAAAATGTCATACACGCGAAATCTTTTTATGTTTTAAATGTTTTCATACATTCGCAGTGGAATAGCACTATTGCGGCTTATTTAAATAATTTTTTTTTTGAAACAGCAATATATTTACATATATAAAGATTTTATCGAATGATGGCAACCCTTTCCAAATTTTTTCTATACTAAATTTTTTATGCATTCTCAGTGAAATATAATTATTGCGGCTTTTCTAAATTTAATTTTTTTTTTATCTTTCAGATATCTAGCAACACCGGTTCTTATTTTTTTACAAACCTTCTACAGACAGAGAAAAACAAAATGAAATAAAAACGAAGCAAATCCGTTGAGCCGTTCTTGAGTTATGCTATAGCACACGAACAGCAATTCATTTTTATATGTAAAGATTTTTTGTCGAGTGATGGCAACCCTATTCAAATCTTTTTTTATTAAATTTGTTTAAACATTCTCAGTAAATTACATTATTGCGGCTTATGTAAATTTAATTTTTTTTTTGATATTTGAAATATTTGGCAGCCCCGATTTTCCAATTGTTTCTTTACATTCAA